GAATCAAAGTGGATATCAACTATTTAATCTACTGTTAATGTCGCTGCTTCTCAGGCATGTGGAGTCTTCTCACAGGGGAATCTTGTTTTCTTCCTCAGGGCGTTGTTTTACTGTAAATCCTGCCATGATGACATATCTGATCCCAAAAGAATAAAGAAATGTGGATGCAAGAAATGTAAGTGACCACATATCAACACATTATGTTAGTTTGACTTCATTAACATCCATAAACAGAGCATTTGTAAGTTGTGGATGAAAAGAAAAAAAAAAGATTTATATTTATCTATATGACTTAAATACTTTAAATGTTAAAGGGTCAGTTCACCCAAAATACAAATCACAGCTTTACAGTCAAATCTAGTCTTTTTGTTTTATTTGCTGAAGTTTAGAAATATGGGATTTGGGTGAACTTACCCTTTATTTTTTATTCCACCACTTTTAATTGACAATCTCAACAATAGCCTTGGATTATTTTGAATTCAAGACATATTCTCTCCTCCATGTAATTCACTTTTAAACAGAAACAGAGAAGTCTCTAAGTCTAAGTTCACATGTGAGTTCAGGCTAAATGTGCATTTTGTATGTTTGTTTGAATGTCTTCTGTGGTTTTATAATGTCTGTGTGTGCTGTGACAGTTCACTGATAACGTTGTGATGTTAGCAGAGAGACTGGGACCTGGATGGATCGTGTGGCTCTACATCAAAAACATCCTGTTTCATTTTATTGTTCTGTCTGTTCTCCTACAGATTGTTTCATCTTAACCATTACAGCTAATAATTCATCTTAACATTTGATGCATTCTTTTCCTGCTGCTTGGGAATTTGCACACTTAAAAAAAATGTCACTTTATAGTGATATATTGTGAGTAATGCAGATCGATTCCCCCTCTGAAAACACAGCCTGAGTGTACTGTAAATGTTGCATGTATAACGGTTGATGCTGCCTGGTCCCATGGTTGTCACGTGCACATCGCTTCCAATTTGATAAAAACTAAAGTGACCAATTTTGGGAAAAGACCAAAAAGAGACAAAAGGATAAAGAGTTGAGTTTACATTACCTTTATTACCTATTTCTTTTCTTATTTAGAAAATGTTAAAAGACAGTAACTATAGGAGTTTCATTCATGACAGCCCGAGTAGTAATACTCCAGATCACCACCAGGTGTCTCTGCAATCCTTCGACTAACACAACATCCTTGCTAGAGGAGCTAAAAAGGCCCCATTTCTGAGATCAAGGATTTTTTTTGGAACAAATAGCATTCATGTAGGATCCTTAACTCTTGATGTCAGATTTATGGTTTCATACAGTGCCTCATGAGTGTTTCAACTTATTTTTGTTTTCTTGAGATTCATCTAGAAGCCCAGAGAACTGTTTTATACGAGATACTGACTCAGAAATGTCTGTCATCGTTCGCTGGAACCAGTGTAGATAAGACTCATAGTGTCAAATACAGCACATGACCAAATTATGGAGTAAACATAAGCATTCAGGGTCATGTTCAGGTGAAGGGGTGAAGTCAATACAAATCTGATGAGTTATTGTTTCTTTTGCTGTTGAGGGAATTTATGACCCACACCCGATCCAATCCCACCCTCTGATTTCTACTCCCCAAAACCACATGACCTCACAACCTCATGATATTTCCCACGCTTGTCCCAGAAACGACCCAAATCCTAATCTGACATTCCGACATTTGCACGCCGTCGAGTCAAAGTGAATCTTGTGCATCCCAGCAGCAGCAGCAGCCGTCCTCTGTGCCCTGTCTTGCCTTTGTCCACTTCTCTCCAGAACGACCCTCGACGTTAACCTGCTCTCCCTCTCCTCTTGTCTGAACCTGTGACTGTAGCCAAGATGCCCGCCCTCGAGAAAATAAGACTGGCATGCTGTTTTGATTGCGGGCGCTCAGCAGAGCGGGGCTGCTCGTGCATGCTGATTAATGTGCGTAATAACGTGGACTCCTCTCAACAAGACATCCCACTCTCTACTGTCTCTGTTAATGATTGCTCAACCCCATTACGTGCCTGTAAGTTGTCGCCATTGACATGTGCTCTTTAGTGTTGTGCAACATGCACTGTGTTAACCATGTCTCCAGCTCTGTGCGCTTTCTGGCTCTATGGCAGCTTTGTCGTCACTGTCATGGGTGTAGTTGTTGCTTCACTGTTGTCAGTCAGCTGGTGCTCCTGGTCCTGTGCTGCTGCTCTCAGAGGTGAAGCATGCTGGGGGACTGTTCCGCTGGTGTTTTGTCAGAGAATGTGAATTCAAACTGACCTTTAGCTCAAATTGGGTCAACAACAATTTTGCAGAGTGTGAAAACTAAATCTCCGCTGAAAAATGGCGTCCGCTTCCCCCTCCAGTGATTTAATCAACATTTACAGCTATTAAAGCTGAAGTGCCAAAGAATTGCAAAGCTGTGCGTCCCTGCGATTGATTTCGACATGCACACTCAAACGTTGCACGCTCAAATTATTTGGTTTGTACAAAAGTTATATTGACGTCACTGGAGAGTAATAAAGATAAAGAAACGTTTCCTTTCTGTGCCCTCCAGAGACGGGTGAACACGATTGGATTTAAGATATTTGTATGTGTAAAGGCCACTGACAATCAATTAATTAAAATAAAAATCTTAAGAGCACCTGAGGGGATTTTCTGAGGATCTCTCTGAACGCCTGAACAACTACAGAATATAAAATCTCTAAAAACAGAAAACATGTATTCAGTTCACACACCAGTGTCACAATCAGCGCCAGAGGCAAAACTCGGGGTTCTCTAGTCTTATGATATTGTTTGAATTGTACAAGATTTACAGAATTCAAGAATAGAGCAGATCTGGATGAAATTAGAGGAATAGAGGACAACAGAAAAGTGCTGGATCATATTGGAACTGACTGAATTGTTCTGAATTGAGATTCATTCTTAATTCAAGTGTGATTGCCCTTTAAAGCCGGAGGCCGTGTTAAGTTGCTCTCATATGTTGCAGAAGGCATGAAGAATGTGTCTGCATCTGCACGGCGTTAATACAATTTGCTGGAAACATTGTAGTCTGTCACACAGTTTTAGTGAATGGCTCTTGATCAAAGACCATGTTGTGTGTAGTCGAGCATCTCTGGGCGTTTCCACCCCTCGACATGTCTTCCAGGGTTGTGTGCTGTGAGCGTCCCCGGCCAGCTAAGCTGGAGCCGAGCTCTGGAGCTGCTGTCGACACAGTGCGGGAGACGCACGGAGCGAGGCCTTATGTGGCCTGACATGGAAATTATGTTTGCATTTTCATTTTTGGAGTGCTACCGGTTGTCATGAAACTCAGCCTGACAGTTCCTAACCACCAGGCAGCCGAGTGCCCCCGCCCCTCTCCTCCTCTCTCGTTGTGGGACAGATGCTAGCCTGTTAGTCCTGTGACTCTGTTCGCGCCCTCCGATTGCAGGCGACAGATGCCAGGACCAGCAAGGTCCCTGTTTGAACATTGCTGTCACTGTCCTGCCTTAAGCTCAATGCATGACCTTTATTGTGAGCAAGGGTTTGAAATAAAGTACTAATGAGCATGTGTGCGACTCATAGCTCCCAAAAAAAAAAGTGACTCACAGGAAAGTTCCATGCATCTGTGCAGGTTGTATCAAACAGTGCTGAGGAATGGGAAACAGCTTTTAGGAAAAAGGAGGCAAGAATAAACACGATGCTATAAACTCAAAAACGAGAACATGCACAGTTTTGTCACATGTTGTAAGTAAGTGAATGTTAACGCAGGTTTACCCAGTGAGCAGCTAGTGGATTATAAAAGAAATCAAGACATCCAGGATAAACTCACATTATCAAGGATATCAAGGTTAAATAACGTTTTTAAGACTATATCTCAAAGTGTGCTGACCTGCCTCACATTGAAATATAGTTATTAAATGCCAGTTAAAATATCAGTTACTGTTTATGTAACTAGTTTGATTATTAAATTATTTAATCATCCGTATCTGTAATTATGAAAATATAATGAAATGATCATTTTAAAGTTATTTTAAGCGAGTTAAATTCAAACGTTCAGCTCCGATTTAATCTACACATCTGAACATACTGATTTACGGCACTCAGAGTCGGTGCCAACTTCATCGCCTCCGATGGGTTTGTAGGTGACAACCTACAAACACGTTTTGACCACGTCACTGAAAATAATTTTCCAAACCGCCGCTTGTTTTATTTCTCATTGTTTTGGTCCATGTTGTTCTTCTTTAAGGTGCCTCACAGAGAAATCCCTCAGCCTCCAGTTCCCCAGTTGTCCTTTATAATTTGCTTTCATTGCGACCTGATCTTCTCTGTAACCTCTCATCTGTCTCTGCATTCTTCTCAGCTAAAAATAGCTACAATGGATATATCAAATCAAGTAAGTTTTGATTTCCATTCTCTCGTTTGGCCATTTGTTTTCTAACCCTTCCACTTATGCCTCCGCAGCCGTCGCCACTCGACCCATCTCTGACCTGCTGTGTTTGGCTGTTGTGTTCGTCGCTCTGTCTTCATCCATCCTTATATTTCACATGCAAAGCACCAGGAGGTTGCGTCTGCGTGGTTTGTGTTGGTTATCAGTTACAGCTCAGCAGTAGATGGTGCTACCGCTTCACTGTGAGGGCGGATGAATGAAATCGAACAATTCAAGTGTGTATATTTACAATATGATTCATCAAATAAGAGTAAAGGGTTAGTGTTGTATTTTGTCAGCTCAGGAGTGTGAACCTCGTGGGTCAGGATTTGTGATAAAAACAAATATGCCACACTGGTATTGTCCTGCAGAACTGCTGTGCATGTTTGACACGGGGCAGATGAACAGTGGAGGTCTGGAGAAGGAGAGATAATCTGCTCGACAGCTGACTGTTGAAATAATCATCTCTATTCTTCAGCTTTAGCTCCCAGCCATTTTTCTTTTTGGAGTGAGGGGACCATGTTCTTCTGCCTCCTTCTATCAATTTATCATGTAATCTTTACCAGGTTTGCCTCCATTATAACACCACTGCAACCGTGAGCTTTTAGATCTCAAATAATGAAGAGGACACACAATTTATTTCTTCCTCATCAGGCTTAAACTGCACACAGCAGCTCGTGGTTGTTAACGCACACTGTCACCTCCTTGTTCTTTTGGCATAACAAACGCTGGAACACCTGAAAGCATACTTATTAATTCATGCTTATTATAAATATCAAAGTAAATGTCAAATCCAACATTTCAGTGGTGGCTATAGCAAGTGGTTAAGTGGTGTTTAATAAAAATGAGCTTTTTTAATTATTCAGCTATTAGCATTCTTGTGCCAGAAAGAATTACCCCCCAAAACCTGTGATTGTGCTTTAATTATGATAAGAGTCACAAGATGTTTTATTAACATACACACTGCAGGTCTTATTGAAGTCACTTCACATCAGATCCTGTCCTGTGCTCAACGTGAAGAATTAAAATGCCTCCACCTACAGTTGATGCTGCAGAGCTTCAATCGTACAATAATGTATTTTTAAAAATAATGCTCTAGTTACTGTAGATGCTCTACAAACAAGCTCTGAACACTTAAAATCTAATGTTTCACAGTTGTGAGCAACACAAATTAAATGTTATTCACCTCCATTATACTGTGATGGAAGCAGAAATGTCAGACGACTGTTTTAAAACCTTGACACTTTAAAACCAAAGCTATCAACATGGCTAAATACCTCCAGAGCTTTGTGGTTGTCGTGTAATAAGCCTTTAAAAACAAACAAACAAACAAACAACCCATTAAGTTGAATTATGCAGCTGCTGATTTTGACTCCTCTTCATTGAGCAGTAAAAGATGGCCCCCTTATCCAGTCATCAACTTACCAATACAAGTCAGCTAAACTGAACAACTCAGACGAGGCCTGTAGGGGGCCCCGTAGCAGGGCCGCAGCCGTGTCGGTCCCGCTGGTTAACAACCGCAAGGGAAGCCTGCTGCCCCCTGCCGCGCCCCCCGCTCTGAGACTGAGCTTCGCGGGCTGCAGGGACCTAGGCCAGGTGGGCCGGCGACCGAGGGCGGCAGAGGAGGCCAGCCTGCTGCAGCGGGCACGCAGCCTGCCGGTGAAATACAGATACCACCCCGGTCACTCCAATAACGGCGCACTCAGTCACAGGCACCGTAAGGGCTAGCTCCGCCACCCCCACCCCCCCACCCCCCCTCGGCGTGTTTGGCAGGCCTGCGCTCGAACAACGGCACAACGAAGCATGTGCTCGCCAGGCTGGAGTGGTTGCATGTGTAGCATTCCTTACTAATGACCCAGTGTGTGCAGCTGTCAGCTGTGAAACATTAAATATTGAACAGGCCGAGGAAGATGTGAAGGGCCAGCGTGTTGGAGCGTCCCTCCCCGCTGCCCCCCCCCGCCCTGTACTTCAACATGTTTCATTCTGGTGTCACTGTCACACATGTTAACAGTGCTCGAACTCCTGCGTTCATCTGCAGAGGAGCACAATCTTTAAGACGATTCATTTACTCTAATGAAAGCTTCTTGAGTTTTTAAAACACTTGACAGCTTGATGATCATTTAAAGAAGCTCAAGTGTATTTTCCATGATCTGTGTCAAACTACTCACAGTTTAAATGATGGCTGTTAAAACGCTATTAGCGAACAACACTTTTCCTGCTGCTTGTGTTGATTTTACCGCTGACGACTGCAGATTTGTTTTTCCTCGACTCTGATATTAGCTTGTGAAAATATTTGCCTGATTACTTAACTCCAGGGTAAAACTTGTAATCCGTTTCCTTTGAAGAGCTCGGTGCCGTTTTGTGTAGTGATAAAGACGATGTCCGAGGGGCATCTCGGCTGTTCATAAATCACTACGGCTCAAGGACCAAACTAATTATATGAGCCAAGGGCGTCACTCCTCAAATGAAGAAAGACCAAGAACCCAGACTGGATTCAGTTCTGGTATAAAAGAGCCTTATTTATGATGTTGGATGCTTGATATCTGTAGGTTATTACTTAAATTAAATGAGATTGTGGGTGATTAGCATGGCCGATAGAGAAATCGATCTTAATCTAGTTCTGAAGAAAGTTGTTCTAACCAGGGATTTAAAAGTTGAGGCACTAAATTATCTGAATCATATAAATTGCAGATTACAGTAATTCTCTAGCAGATTAAGATCTGGCATGATGGTGGCACAACTGCATGTTGCATCCTCATACACAACCATGCAAATGATGCTAACGTATCCTGTTATCATCATGCAAACTTTGCGTTGCACATGAGTTGAAGTCTCATGTCCGCTCCATCTTGTTCACCCAACCTCACTTCCCACTCGTGTCGTGTTGTCTCTTTAAATTCACTAAACTCACGTCGTGCTGTGTCGCTCTTTTGCTGTTATGATACGTGGATTGTGCGTTGCCTCTGGTAATTCCCTCCCTCATACCGATGCCTTTCGTTGCAGCGGAAGAGGACCAACTGTCGGCGCTGTCGCCCAAAAAAAAGCAACGAAATGGAGGCATGAGGAACTCTCCGAACTCCTCGCCAAAGATAATGAGGTAGGATATCACTGATGACATGTCTGCTGCGTCTGGTTGGATGATTTGTTCATACACAGTGTATTCATGTTCATATTAAGTTCAACACATCATTGACAAGTTTGTTATTTACCTGTAAAAAGTCCATCGGAACATAAATATGCTCAACTTGTCCAAATTGTCCAAAAATGGGGCTAAAATAAAACGGTAAAACTCAATCTGGTGCTGCCATTTTGCGATTTTGACGTAATTTGGAGCCAGTTAATGTGCAGTAGGGATCGTGGTGTGAAGTCATGGTATTGAGGTCCCACACATGCTATCGCTTCACCAATCGCAAGTCGGTCGCAGCTGTCAATGATAACGTTTCACCCCATTTTTAAATCATCAAATAACTGATTAAAAACAAACTTATCGGGAAAATTAGCTTGAACGTACATCAGTAGGACAAGAACTACATGAAATGAAAGAAACCATCTTCACATGCAGAAAAAGGATTTGACTTTTGTGGAACAGTCAAGTCATTCACTTTTATATAGTTACAGTTATCACCTTATAAAGCAGTGACGATGAATGCGTTCACAAAAAGTGTCTTATATAGTCGACATAGCTGCTAAATGTGTCACTGTGTGGCATTAGTTGCTGTGCAGGTAGTGTACTGTTGTAGAACAATAAAGTTGTGAGTCATAAAACCAAATTAATGAGTTCAAAGATGCTAAAATGCTACGTGTAGTTGTGGGTAACTGCAGAGTCTGACGCTGGTGATAATTCTCTGTGGGCTCGTGCTTAGAAGCAGCTCCGCTCACACCTAATGATCTGATCCCTCCTTTATACAGAAATATTGATTTGTGAGTTATTGAGGAGCCTTTTCTTAACTGTTTTTTTATTAAAAATCAAATATTAGTGGACATATCTTCATATTTTTTTACTCTCTCAAATATTAATATCAAGCTCTAAACTTTACTATATATATATAATGGAAAACATCTTATCAAAACATTTTCAGTGCCCCTGTTTTCTCGGAAAACATGTCAGACTTGCAGAGGGGCTCCATGCCACGAGGTTTCATGTGACACCCGCAGACTGCAGCTCTTAAACAGGCCTGGCACTAATGACAGCCAGGCAGTCAGAGGAGCTCTAAAGGAGAGATAGCCCAAGGCTATTCATCTATTGTTGGATCCCTCTGAGCGCTTTTCAGCACGTAAGGCCACGGATGATAAGTATCATTGCAATGAAAGGTGAATTCAAATGCTACCTTGCTTTTATCTTGTCCTGTAAAATTAAACCCGCGCTTATTGATTTTGACTGGAGATAACAATGTTATTCAACCAGAGGCCATTAGACAGATGATAATAGAAGGAGTCACTGTCATTACGTGCCATGTTGTGAAGACGGCAGGCAACAGGGAAGTCCTGGAACGTGATGCAAAGCCAACAAAGTGGAATCACATGGATGAAATTGAATTAAAATTTGACTTTATATTCCCCACAGATCAACAATGTGCAGTAGTTATTAAAATTACTTCATATTATATCTAAAAGGAGCGTTTATGTGCATAATTTACCATTTTCCTTTTGATCCATGGCCTCTGTTTGTTCAGGTGGGCGTTCGCTCTTGTTTGATTTGGTTCAAAATGGTGTCAAAGTTGAATCGCTCCAGGTCGTTTCCAAACTCTAGGGATTCAATACCCAGTTTCTCCAGAGCTATCGCCATCAGCTAAATATCAACCCAACAAAAAACAATCCATCTACTTGCCATGCTAATTCACGGAACGATACAGGTGGATGTGTTGTTTCGAGCAGCGCGTCTGCTGCCTACACGCCGGAGAGGGATTCGCTGCGGTAGCCTAAGGGATACTTCATTGCAACAAGCAGAGAAAAAAACATCTGGGTGTATAGTATATCAAATGTGTTTTTACAGGACCTGCGGCCTCAAGGCCTTTGTAAATAAGTAATGATCAACAGATTGGCTGTGGGTTTTGAAGATCAAGCCTTTGTCAGTTTACATGTGGGGAAGGATTTTCAGACTTTGCCTGCTTGTGTTACACTGAGCCAGTGCAGTGATGCTGAAATAGAAAATCTACATATTCTGCATGTCTACTTTATGTCTCTCTCCGCTGTCATTACGCTCCTCCAGAAGACACCTAGCCTTATGTTTCGCGCTTGATACGTGTCATTTAGCGACTAAAGCAGAGGCATTATGGTGCTGAGCATTTAGAATGTTTAGATGAGCGCTTACTGAGATGACAGTCACCTCGCCTCTGCTCCGTGTAATGAAACAAACCGCACAAAAGGAGGAAGTGTTCAGCCACGGAAGCCGAACTGTCTCCTGTTTCCACACGTATCAGCAAACTAACACGCTACGTCTGGAACTTAGCGACGACGACTTCACTGAAATTAACACCATTCCCACAGGCTCCTTGATGGGTCATAAGACACATCTAATTGTGGGATGTCACAACACGTTTGGTCACATCGGGCCACACTGTGACACACACGTCATGTCTGCTGCAGCACCGCTGAGGCAATTGGCAGTGCAGGATAGTGACAGGCCGTCATGGCTGACAGTGAGCGATAGCTATCCTGGCAGAGCGCTGCCTCACCAGTCATCTCCACAAGGACAAACCGAAGTGACAGCGGCTCCACTGAGTGAGTGCTGAAACATTTGACTTCTGATGAAATATTTAGCTGAGGTGTAAAACAACTAAATGTGTTCGGTCTTAGATTCAAGTAGAGACTGAAGATATAGAATTAATAGATTCGTCTACTAATCAACATCCTGATTCATTAAACAGGAATTGCAAACATTTGTTGGATCTTTTCAAATGAGAGTTTTTTTATTTGGTTTTTATATCATTGTAAACGAAAACTGTTAAAGTCACAAGACATTTAGTGACTCATTATTTATTTGATGGTACAGTGAAGGAGAGACAGGAGGGGAGTCATACTAGTCATACAGCTCATGGTGAATGCGCCCATGTGCTGTGCACCCAAACCATTCCGCCCTCTGGTCGCCCCGTTATTAAACAGTTTTTGCTACAAGGTATAGATCCTGGAGCTGGAGCCAATCCCAGCTGACACTGGGCGAGAGTCGGGACACACCCTGGACAGGTCGGCAGTCCATTGCTTGGCCAACACATAAAGAAGAACAAATGCAGCCATCAGTTGTGATATAACAATCCTACTACATGATTATACACATTTGTTACTGAAGCAATGTGCAGAAGAGACCTGGAGTTTCAGTGCGTTGAACTTTTACGAGGTGATATATTTAATCCCACTTCTGCATCGTACACTTGAGTTCTCGAGTTTTGTACTTCTAAAATATAATGTTTACATACTTTCAACCACAGAGTTCAATTTGCACACACCGTGTCCCTTTGAATTAAAATTGCTTTGACAAATTTGAGCCTGAGAGGTTGAAAGTGGCAGAAAATACATTTTCCTCTCCAACTACGTCTATCCTTGAAAGTACATCCAGGTCTTGCCTAGGGGTATATAAGCCCAAAGGCGGGCTTTTTTGGCTTCAGTCTCTCGGAGCCTGAGGGATGGTAGTTTCAGCTGACACTTTCATGCATACTTAACGTGCTACTTAAGGTAGCATTCTTTTAAAGTACTCACACGGATTAAAGAGATGCTCCTCTTATGTGGAGAGGACGTGAAGTATTTAAAAGGTTTCAGACAGAGACAGAAGGCTGCTGTCTGTGTTTTCAGGAGATAACATCTTCAGCTGTGATCTCAATCTGACAAAGTTGATTTAGTGCGAGGGGAATTGTGTTGGGCAGCGTGCGGCTCAGTAGATACCACTGTGGCTGGTCGTGTTTGACCGCATTGGCTGGTTGTTGTGATTTTGACTTTTTATGTTTCCCCTTTTGTCTGTGTGGGTTTCACACAATTCAGAAACATTCATCAGAAAAACAATATGATCAGGCATTGATTTCCACTGGAATTCTGTTGTGATTGTATAATAATTTTTTTTATTTTCATCTGTTTGTTTGGATTACTCAAAAAATGACGATAAGATTTCTACAAAACTTGGTGGAAGGATGCAGTATAGCAGAAAAAATACATTCTGGTCAGATCAAGGGGCGGATCCAAGACAAATTTTTTACTTTCTTTAACATTGCAGGACAGGTCGTTATTCAGCAATTTAGTTGATGTCCCAGAGAACAGTTCATGGATGTTGATGCAATTAATCTGCAATGTTTATGGGGACTGATAATAATTTTTGGGCAAAATTTGTGTCACGATTTCATGATTCCAAGCAAATTGTAATTTAATTTTATATGAAATATGATGTTTTATATGATATATCATACGCATGTTCTAATTAATTAACTTTAGTTATATAGGCCAGCCCTAATTCCCTGTAGGTGTGCAAAGTAACGTGTGTGTCTTTGTGCAGTATGTGTGTGTTAGCAGTATGATAGACTAAAGTGTTTAACATATGTTTCACCTCTGTCATAATGAATGCTGGAAAATGCATTGAAGTGTTTACATTATAACCACAGGACTTAAACACTGTAAAACAGCACAGACGTATTTTTTGGGGCTAAAGCTTCGTAAATTTAAAGCAATAAAATAAAGATTTATTGTGTTTTGTCAGCAGATATTTGTAAATGTCACAGTAGGAAAAGAATTAATTCACTTCATAATTTAGACCTGTGATTTTCCTGCTGTCACATGTCAAAATATCCCCTTTTAATCAGAAATGTTGATTTTAGACAATAAACCAAGCATCTGATGTTAGATATGAACTTAAGATGCATTCATTCTGTAAGGAAGAAGATATTTGATACAAAATACAAAATTTATACTAAATATAATGAATATGTTTTAGGGTTTGAAATTCAAATGTTGTATCATAAGAAGTTGGAACTCAAACGACGGTGTGGCTCTGACCTGAACAAGCCTGATACAACCGCAGGTACTCATGCCCGGAGGCCACTTTAGTGGTCAGTGTTGGCGCTCACCGCTCAGTGAAATTAGTTGATGTAGTTCTGATGCTCCGTTTAAAAATTAATACCCTTCACTTTGGAAAGCAAATATGATTGGGCAAATTGCTGAAATATTTAAAGTCTGGTCTGTTAAAGCTTTTACGGCGCGGCACACTAAGTCAGAAGCTGTATGCAGTAAGGGGGCGTAATTGCATCTCCGTGCTCATGCCAGTCAGCGCAGTGTGTTGCTGCCATCTTCTTCCGCCTGGCTGCCGCCGCTGATGTCGCTCTGCTTGATGACATGGCAGCGTTGTTGGCATTTGTGCAGATGGCCTCTGACAGGAGAACGGAGAGGAGAAGGGGAAAAAGGCTCCTTTTTTTTAATATGACTCATTTCTTTTAAGATTCCTTAAATTTGATGGTGTATCAATTAATGTTTTTGACATTTCAAAAGTTTAAAATATTATTTTTTGATTTATTCATTAGTATTCATCTGAATTCATTGTGTTGAATCTTCTCACTCATTTGTCATCACTTGTTATCTAGAGTTTTCTGACAAATCACCTCTTGTAATTCTGCCAGCAAACAGTTGCAGGGTTATCTTTTTATATTTTGGCTTCATTAGTCAAATCCCCCAAGCGAGTTCATTTTAATCCAGCGTCTTGATGACATTCTTTCATTGCCTCCCTCTTGTCTTTTGTTTGATTAGACATGACCCACTTGTCGTCCCTGGGAACGAGCAGATTGAGAGCATGGACGAGAACATAAAGAAATACGACTCGACGGGGATGTTTCACTGGTGCCAGTCCAAAGACATCGAGAAGGTCATCTTGGTGGGTTCTGCTCCTTTATGCGGCACACGTCGTTTTTCCCTGACACTCTTCTGCCCGGTGACAGATGTGTCATGTCAAAAAGCACCATCAGAGGTCGACAGGGCACTTAAACACTCTAATGAGGTGTTTGACTTGTCATTTGCTATACGGAGGACCTGCACATAGAACATGTCTTGCACTGATACACATTCCATTATTCAAATGACTCTTATAGTCATAAACAGCTTTGTATATTTAACTGGGTGAGCAGTAGGTAAAAGAGAAGAAAATATGTTTACATCTGTGTCAAAAGACAGTTTTCAGTTATAAACATCTCTTCTTTATCCCTTGTTCTTTCTTTCCCTCTCAGACCCGGAGCGAGGCGGCCATGACAGTTCTGAGTGGTCACGTGGTTGTGTGCATTTTTGGAGATGTGAAATCAGCCTTGATCGGTCTCAGAAACTTTGTCATGCCCCTGAGAGCGAGCAACTTTCACTACCACGAGCTGAAGCACATTGTGTTTGTCGGCTCCCTCGAGTATCTGAAGCGCGAGTGGGAGACCCTTCACAACTTCCCCAAACTTTCCATTCTGCCCGTGAGTGAAGCAAATCGCACATTTGAAACATTTATCTGTAGAACTGCAACAGATTTGCCAAAACGAATGATCATGTTTCTTAAATTACTTCATATAAAACTCTAACTGTGGGATGATATTTAAAGGGGTTTCTTCCCTAGGTCAAAGTGACTTGAAGCACTAAACAGGACAACTTTACAATGTTAAAAAACAACAACATGATCTTTACCTAGAATAACCTAATCAATACAATAAGTAGAGAATAGACAGGAAGCAGCTTATCAGTTAAGTTTTGTGATTTTTTTTTTTGCAAAAACACCCCACACAAACACCTCTGTCGGATTTTTGTTCAGCTCAAGGTTCAGGTATCAGCCTAACGTCCTCAAGGACATTTCTGACAAATGAAATCTGCTGCATGTTATAATAGTTTATCGGGGAGCAGGTTGAAATAAGTCTCAAGGATGAGAACGCTGAAATGTAAGATTTACGTTTACCTACGTCTTCATTACCATCGCTGAGATAACAAACTCTCTCCTCCTCCTCTCAAAGGGCACACCGTTGAGTCGGGCAGATCTAAGGGCTGTCAACATCAACCTCTGTGACATGTGTGTCATCCTGTCAGCCAATCAGAACAATATTGACGATGCATCACTGCAGGACAAAGAATGCATCTTGGCATCACTCAACATCAAATCCATGCTGTTTGACGACAGCATCGGGGTCTTGCAGGCTAATTCCCAAGGTAAGGAGTGCCCTATCATAGTTCACTGCACTGCCTATGAGGGACAGGGCGCTGGCACAGAGAATATCCCTCACTGGGTGCTGCCTCGCTGACCCCATGTCTCTGCATTTGACAGTAAACCCAAGTGACTATTCCTCAGGTTACTATAACAACTGCTTTCTTCAAAAACCTAATTGGTGGCAACAACCGCCGCGTCGGCACAACAGCCTCACCTGGCTCACACGTTTTATTTTGCAAGATGTGGGACTGCTAAAATAACTGTGTATAATTTATGAATATTGCACATTACAGCTTTCAAACCAGTGAGCGACGCAATCAGTCAGGGTGAGATGGCCCTTCAATAATGGTCATTGAGAGAAATGCTTTTAGAAACCTTTTGACCTGAGGAGAGGGAAAAAAATTCCCTGCCAATTTCATTATTCCTCTAATACATGTATGACCTCGCATTTGCCTGAGTCAGCAGTAAGTGATGGATGTCAAAACAGGGCCCATGTATAATACATACAGCATCATTGATTTAATGTGCTTACTTGTCAGTCTGAGGAAAGCAAGGAATGTCAAGTCAATCTGAATTCAATCTTGCGTCAGTTCTTTTCTATTTCATGGCTCCGCGCTGTACATGCGTTTCTCTGTGTGTGCGTGTTTGTGTAAAAGGTTTCCGTCTCCGTGCACACACAGTCTGAGGGAAACAAAATGAGCAGTATGTCACATCTATTATATATAGACTAATATTGGCCCTTGTCAAGAGTGCGGTAACATCGCACTCAGCAACTTAATGCCTTACTAGTGGCCGGGAATGGATGAAATAGCCCCAGTGTATTAGTTCTGCTGATATGCCTGTTTGTAACTCCTGATGAAGTATTGAATATTGCATTAACAGATGTGCTTTGTGTCATGCGTGTGTGTCCTTTTAGGCTTCACACCACCGGGGATGGATAGATCGTCTCCTGAAAACAGCCCCGTCCATGGATTAGTGAGGCAGACGTCTGTCACCACAGGAGCAAATATTCCCATCATAACAGAACTAGGTACGATCGATGCTGTTCAGCTGTGTCACATGATTGATATGCTTACTTGTTTTTTGTAGTTAAAAAGTTGTAAATAGATGCAAAAACACAATTTCTGCAATTACAGGCTGTCAACGCATGATTAACACTAAAAGTTGAGATTTTGTTGGTTTTGTTTTACTCCAGTAACTGTTTCTCCTCAACACTTGTCTAGCACCATTAGCAAAACCAGGCAAAAAAGTGCCAGTGATTTCATTCAGTCAGGATAAAAGCAGTGGGACCAACATACAAATGATAACTGAGCTGGGTAAGAAGTGCCTCTGTCCTGTGCTGCAGTGTTGTAACTGCCGCTGCCTCCATATCAGCTTTTTCTTTTGATTTCTCTCACTGCACAAGAGGCTCAGTCCATCCCCATAGCATCACTTTGAGCACATTTTACCCTTGGTTCTGGTTGAAATTGCCTGTCTTGTTTTGGCCCCTTATCTCAAAGCAAAATTGTTCCCTTTTATTTTTCCAAGAATTACAAGGCCTTTGATCCCTCTGAAGTCCTTGTGGCAGTTTTCATAGCATCTTCTGTCGGATCACATTCTCCGGCCCTTCTTTCATCTCAGCCCTGTCGACATGACTGACATTTATTTCTGTCCTCACAGAAGTAGTGCTTCTCAAAACTAAATTTTACAACATTACTTTTTTCCAGCTACTACATCTGTTTTTTTGTGCTCAAAGACATCTTCAAAGAATGTTCTTGGGCAATAAGATGCTTTCATTTGTTTCGACATGCAAGTTCAAGTAATTGGAAGTGCTGTCTTGGATTTGCAAGACAAACACTGGTTTATTGGTGTTTCTGATATTGACTTTGAATCGAGGCCCGGGGCTTTCACAATATGCATGGTGTTATGATTGTGCATGAATCTCCTGGATATGGAATGTAGCTGTGGCGTGTGTGCCACAAGCTCAAACAAGATGATCAGACTGTTTTATTTCACTTGATTGAAAAGAAAAAGCAATTTTCCCAAAATTCAGAACAAAAAAAAAAGGAGAATTAGTCAAAAACAGATTTGTAATACAGTCCATATCTGCAGCTTCTGACTGTTGTGCACAACCACTGTACTCTGGTGTCTTTTCTCTCCACATCAACTCAAGTATTTGCCTGATTTATGCTTAAACACACAATCCATGCTTCTCCAATCAAACCCACGAGACATGGTTTTATTCTGGAGAAAACGAACAAGCAGAATTTAAATAACGACCTCATTTTATTTTTACACATAGTGAATGACTCAAATGTTCAGTTCCTGGACCAAGATGATGACGACGACCCAGACACGGAGTTATACCTCACTCAGCCATTTGCCTGTGGGACAGCATTTGCAGTCAGTGTGCTGGATTCCTTGATGAGCGCTGTAAGTCAGAATCAATGCATCTCACAGACAAATATGTAGCGAGGAAGAGATTATGATAGAGGTTTTGTGCTGTGACATATCATATCTGTCAGAGATCTGAAATATGCACAGAAATCTTGTCTGCCCCTCCCCCTCCCACAAAAAGAAAAAAAGTGAAGGTGCACTCTGCTCCCATTAAAACAAAAGGTGACAGGACTGGAACTTGTTCTAGGTATGATGGCTTCATTTGTCTGCCTTTCAGTTTGAGTGAGGTTCGAACAAAGCTGCCTTCAAGTGTGCTCCAGTGTAGACAAAGGTAATGCTACCTAATGGACAGCCCTCATCCATCATCTTAGTCAATAGTGCTGTCAGCAGCCAAGGGAGATGTCACTGTGCCGTACAAGCAGGGGGAGGCGGGAGACTGCGGAGCAAAGGAAAGGGCAGACATGTGCCCTTGTTAGAATTAACAAAGCAATTAAAAAACTAACTACACTGAGAAAAGTAGCTCAACATGCTGTAAAGCTGGATATAAAAATGCCTGGACAGCACAAATGTGTTCATGGACTTTCTGTGTCTCTCTGTGATGAGAGTGAGAGTAACCTGCAGTAATTGGATTCTCCTGTCTTTTCACTGGGTGTACAGAGCAATGTGACATGACAGAGAAGAGTTAGATAGCACCATTTGTCCTGGCCGGCACTTTGAGGTGGTTCAGTTGTGACTTTTGTGGCGGTTGCTTAAGGATTCACATCCCTCTACCTTCATCCTTTCAGACATACTTCAATGATAATATCCTCACCTTGATCCGGACGCTGGTAACAGGCGGGGCAACCCCGGAGCTGGAGGGGCTGCTGGCAGAGGAGAATGCGCTACGTGGTGGCTACAGCACGCCACAGACCCTGGCGAACAGGGACAGGTGTCGCGTGGCACAGCTGGCCTTGTACGACGGGCCCTTTGCTGACCTGGGGGTAAGTGACTGTTCTTGTCACCCAGGGGCTAAGCACATCTTTGTCGGCTTGCATTGTGGGAGATGACTTTAGAGAAGGGATTCAGAGAAACGGGGGCAGCTGTGAATCCGAGTTCAAGAAGAAGGGATTTCACGTCAGAAAATAGGTGAAATAGGAGAATATCTAAAATGAAGAGCTTTATTACAATCCATGCATCAGCACGAGTAGATTCAATGCATAATAACAAAATAATGGATAATCAAAATTCAATTCTACCAGATTATTGTCTGTCTGTTAGACTAAGTTATCTTCAATCTAATATTCAGTCTTTTAGTTTATTTGAATGGAGAAAACTCTTCGTATGGTGTCAGGTATCATTGTATTTACCACACTGGACCTAGACAAGAGAAGGAAAGGAAAATAGTTGTTTAGGGAGATGAGGGAGAACATTTTTGTCAAGTATGGTCAAGGTAAATGGATAAAACCATCACCAAGTAGATGCACATACTATTAAGAAATCTAAGGTCCGTGGGATCGTAGCCAACGGCCCTGGATGAGATTAATTGCTAATTGAACAGAAGGATGGTTCAGATGACGGATACAGAATCAAGGAAAACTTAAAAACAAATTTAAACTGAAAGAGAAGCACTAAAAAAGCCAGACTCAAGATTGCTGTTTTCTTGTATCTAGAAAAACCACAATGTTTGTGGGAGAACGCTCCACTGACAGATCAAACAAAGTAAGAGCTTTTTGTGGGTAGCAACAGTGTTCACAGAAGAAAAGAAAACCATCCACAAAGTAAAACATGTAGGAGGATTTTTAATGTCCATGTAAATCAGTATTAAGTGGGACTTTTGTTGAAATACAGATTGTGAACTACACTGGGTTTTTGTTCTTGTCTTGCAGGATGGAGGTTGTTATGGCGACCTGTTTTGTAAAGCCCTGAAAACATACAACATGCTGTGTTTTGGCATCTATCGGTTACGAGACGCACATTTAAACCTAAACAGCCAATGCACCAAACGGTGAGTATAACGGACCTGCTGTGTCCTCACTCAGAACTGGGACCCATGAAAAAATAGGCTTTGTCATAAAAAATCACTTCTACCTCCACTATATTTAGAGCTGGCCTCCCATCTGCTCCCTCTCTCCTCTAGGTATGTCATTACCAATCCACCATATGCGTTTGAGCTGGTGTCCTCAGACCTGATATTCTGCCTGATGCAGTTTGACCACAACGCCGGCCAGTCTCGAACCAACCTCTCCCACTCGTCCCATTCATCCCATTCCTCCAGCAAAAAGAGCTCCTCCGTCCACTCGATCCCTACCATCAACCGCACCAACCGCGCCAAAAGCAGGGACCAACGGGACAAACAAAAGTATGTGCCCCTCTAAAGCTCTCTGACTCTCTGACTCCGTGACCAGTGCCTGTCAACCGTGTTGTCCTGTGCACCCTTTTGCAAGGTCCAGCCAATGTGTGTATGTTTGTCTGTGTGTTTCTTTTATGTCTTAGTTTGCATTTAATGACACCGTACAGTACAGAACAGCTGTCCCTTGGGCAGGACCGTTTCTAGTCATAAGGTAAGCAAAGGGATTTTAGTCTTTCCTACGCACTGAGGCTTTTCTTCTTAGTTTCCGTCTATCTGTTTTTACTGTGGTTGTGAATTTTCCATTCTTGTACATTTTTACAGTAAACTTTTATCGGGGGTTGTGAATAATTCCATAACAGAGGTAACAGAATTCTTCTTTATCATCACCATTTTCAATATGGGAAAATGTTTTAAACCCACCAAAAATGTCTCTTCTGTTTAAGACAAAATGTCAGGATCAACACTTTGAGAAAAGGTTTACAATCCTGGTTTTACTTTAAATTAATATTTATGGATATTCACATTCACCTAGTCCACTGTCTTTATTTGCATTATTTCCAATTAAATTTTCATTCCTGACTTCACTGCAGTGCTTTAACCTGAGCACGGGACCAGCTCTAACAAGAGAAGGAAACTCTTCTAGTCTAAGATACCCAAAATAAAGTATATTTATATGGACCAACACTATAGAACACTATAGGAACTGACAAATATGTCAAACCCTTTAGTTTTACTCGTACTCTCACCTCTGTTATAATAGTTGTGGGGTCTCTCCACTTTAAAGCATTGCTGTAAACGTAGTTTTGCTTTGTTGAAACATGTTTGTGCCGTTTGAACCTTAATTGCACTTGAACTGTACTTTACTTAACATGTCTTAAGAAAAAAATGTTTGTGTCTATGAACGACTGGACATCATGTGCTCTCTATGCCTTTTGAACTTTTGAATGCTCTACTTTCTCTTAAATGCTATATCAAGATATTTGCAAGCAGAATATATTGCAGTCATAAATAAAGCCACCAAAATTACATTGTGTTCACATGTGAATGTCACATCTCAATGTTATTTTATATATATTTACCTCTTTTTTAGGAGACTGTAGTGAATGTATGACTACCTAAGGACATGGTTATTCTTATTTCGCAAATTACGTGATTACATTTTGATTAGATCCTCAAATACTGATACTAAGTGGCTGTAAATGATTTTACATTCTGCTACAAACTGCTCCAGTGTGAGCTGAAGATCTCGGTCAGTAAAACAAACAGAACAACATCATCTGCATAAAGGCGGAGATTCAGTCCACAAGTCACTGGACGGACGACACTTCTCAGTGGCACCTATAGATTCTTTTCATGAGAACAACAAAAAAAAAATTCAGTTTAGCTTAAAGCAGATCACCTTTGACTCACTGCTGAAAATAATCACAGCTCTCTCAGAGCCTCGTCATTGTATCACCAAATTCCTCTCACACCAGTATTTGTGTTCCTGGAACCGTAGAACTTTCAACCCTGTTGAGCTTATTTTTTGAATCAGGAATCTCCTGAGACAACTGAGCCTAAAACGCCTCCTTCAACACGTTGACTTTCATCACTACTGGTGCACGACAGTGGGCTCTGATAATATAGTAATCTTTCGTCTGCTTAGACACTGTTGAAAGAAACTTCAGACAGATATTCCCGGTTCACCATCACTTTGCAAGTGCATTTAGCAGACCTGTCTAGCAGTCTCCCACCTACAATTACTAAAACCCTGATGCTTTGACATGTTTTGTTATAAAAAGTCCAGCACAGAAGGTTTTAGGCAGGCATTTCCAGCTAATAACACCTTCTATGTCCCCAGGCAAAAAGACGTGGCTCCCTTTGTAGGACCCAAACTGTTGTTTTTCGCAGAGGTACAGATCCACTAAGAACAATCTGAGCCCTCGTCTTTGCAGAATGCAGTTCTATAAAGGCAACCGTCTAATTTTCGAGGACAACTCCAACACAGCAGCGCTCAGCCAGTAGTTCCTAAACTCACATTTTAAGATGGACAACTCCAGAAAGTCGAGCCCCAAGGAGCAAGACATGTTAACTATGGTTGGCAATACAACTACATGATGAATTTAAATTACCCTAATTGTAATATCGTACAAAAGGTGTTAGTAACAGTGTTAATGACCATTTCTGTCCATCATTGTGTGTACTTCAATTATAAATATTCTCTATTATTAGCCCGTTAAAAGGATTTTTCTGGACTGGCAGAGGTATGAATTCTCCAAGTACCTTCTAATATAATATACGATTGTTTCTCTGAAAAAATATTTACCCTCAAATATTCTTTGTTCATTCAAAAACACAAATGAGCACGTGCTGCACTTTCACAGCTGCTGAATGAACACGACAAGCTTGTTATGGTTAGTAATATGTACTAAAATAAAACAAGTTCAGCTGCTCAAACTAACCCACACTGCACATTTTTATAAAAATGCATTGACAATATGTTTGACATGGAGTCACTGATCCCTTTAACATTATGTAACACGTTTAGTGTGTTAGCTCCATGCTGCTAATTTGGGTTCTGTATTACATCAGAAACATGGACAACATCATCCCCTGATTGTTTTGGCTGTAGGCATGGATTCAATATGGCTGCTTGACACATGCTACAGTGGCTCGAGGCATAGCGATAGCGCTTAAAATTTTTCTGACATGATCATGCTCTGTTTTCTTAAATTTTTTTTGAGTTGTTTGGTCACCCCCCCGCTGTTTAACCTACTCTCCATCCACATGTAATCAGCGCATCTGTTTTCCACTTTCTGTCATTAATGGTCATGTAAGTATTTCCCATCTAGCTTACATTTAGTGTACTACTTTCTTTTTCCAAAGTGCAACAAGGATGAATAGAGTGGGCCAAGGTATGGACGTGAATGATTATGCATGATGTTAAATAATGCATTGAACAGAGTCGTGTCCTCGCTGACATTTTGCCCTCTGAATGAAAGCCAAGTAGTTCGGTGTTTCCGAGTGACTGCATCGGGAGCGCATGGTTCTGACCTATGCAGTACATCTCACTGTGGGTTTTGACTGTGATTGCAAGTGAATGGTTTGATGCTACTTCACATTATTCTGTATCAAATCATGTTTGATGTTTTATTATTGGCAATGTGTAGCTATGGGTATATGTGTTAATGTACAGCCTCAAGTCATGTTGATGAAAATGCATGACCATGGATATTGCCAAGCGGATGAATCACTGGCGATATACCACGCCAGAATTATTTCCTTCTGTAAGAAAAGAAAGTTGCATCAAGCCAAAAGCCTGAAGCCCCTCAAAGAGACAGAAAAACACCTAATGAATGAATTGTGAAATTAAAAGCATTAACTTCTAATTTAGTAAAGTGAAGTATGAAAACCTGCATGACCCAACAACACAGCATGCTTCAATGGCAGTATGGCAAATTTGAAAAACAGAGGTGAAACTGGGACAGTGAGATGTTCAGTGATACTTACCTGCCACCAAAACTTCTTTTTCATATCATGTCAGAATTTCTTCAATCAGATTCAAACTATTTCCTTTAAAATGTACAATGTTCCACGTGCACTTAAACAAACTGGTGACGCTGCAGATGTATTTGACGTCCATGTTGCAATAATAGTCTGATGTCCCTCCTCTTTGTCTCAATGATTCTGGCTCTTTCTCAGAAAAGAGACGGTTCACAGATGAGCCGGAGAATACCCACCTGAGGACCATACAGATCAAGCCTGTGAATACGCTCACCGTCAACCAAGTCAGTCAGTATAAATCCACAAGCAGCTTGATCCCACCCATCAGAGAAGCGGAGGACGAGTGCTGAGCTCGGGACCCGCGCTGACACCTGGATGCATGTAGGTGTCAGACTTGGATTCAGGATCTCCTCTTACCTGCAAACATGAAGCATCAGTTGACATTAGATGACACGAGCAATCCAACTTTTTTCATTCACCTCTGCAGCAATTATTATTATTATTATTATTATTATTGTACAAACAGTCAAACATGAAATGTAGATACAGACAAACGTAGAGAAGCATCACGACCCCTCAACTATTAGTTTGCGCAGCTGACAGTCGTGACCAGACTCCATGACTTTTTTTTTGTTCCATCTTGGGGAATGAGGGTCACTCGAAGAGATCGGCTGTAAAAAAATGGCTACAACTACTACAAGAGGTGACTATTATAATTATTGGATCAAAGTCTTTGCTTTTGTTAAAGTTGCCTTTGTAGCTGTCCATGAATAACAACTACCAAGACTCCACGTACTTCACCCGGTGTTGCAGAGTTTGTTCTGTACAGTATGTTTAAATGAGTATTTTACATCCAGCTGCATCCCCACCACGATGGCGGAGTCAGTGACTGAGTCTTCGCCATTTGGAGCTAATTCACAACATTTGTGACGGTTACGATCGGCCAGTGTCCATGTGTAAATGGCATTTGGCTTCAGCCTTATCTCTATCCATTTATATTTGTCTTATCTTTGCCTTTTCTTTTTTTTGAGTCATTTGTTATAAATGTTTTCATGTCACTGTTTGGTTGCAATGTCCAAAATCACAGAAATCTCACAGAGGACAGATTTTAGGTTGCACCAAGAGTTGGGAATAGGTTTTTATTTTTATTTATTTTTTGTTAATAGCCAAATATGATAGAGCTGTTTTGTTAAATACAACATAAATCGTACATAGTTTTAATACAAAAATAGTGTTTTTCCTTTACTTAAGACACCACACACAGCAAAGCCAAATACTATGATATAGCATGGCGCCATATTATGAGTCTTTAGGTGCGCTGACTGTGAAAGCCACATATCGCATGAAGTGGGCATCTTCAATTCCTCCTTTGGCCGTAAGCACTGCCTGACACAGGATTGTCTTGGAGGCCATTAAGTGCTTGTATGTACTCCATGACCAATCTTAATGCCACAATCAGACAAGTCCATGCTTTTTGTAGATACATAAAAAAAAAACAGCTCTATCATTAAAAAAAGGGGTTTTGGCTATTTCTGTGTTTTTTGTTCTGATTCTGTTGGTTTGGTGATCAATTACATATCTGATATATTTCCATAAAACAACAGTAAATACACATCTGATCATTTGTTTCATGTCTTGTTTGAATAACAGACCATAGCTATATTGGCACTGTTGTCACTTTACGCAAGAATCAATTAAGGTGAAGTTCAAATTAAATTCATAAATAGATAAATAAAACTCAAGCAATCCATTACATCCTTAACCTATGATGTGTCACCGTTTATGCAAGGACTGGTGTTGAAAGTAAAAAAATGAGAGGTTGAGACATTTTTACTGGCACAGAGAGCGTCCACACCACAGGCGCCTCAGTGTCGGTAATGTGCCAGGCAGTGCTGAGGCCATTGGAGGATTCCTGAAGACCCACTGCTGCGAAAAGAGGCTTGTAGTTTAGCTGGATTCAAGCAAAATGTACTGTTTTTGCTGTGGGAATGAGAATTAAACGTTTCCTATTTGCTTCCTATCACAGACCATTCTACCAAAACACAGTCTTTGAATTTCTTAACATAAATGCTGTTATTCCCTGGAG